TTATATTTCAGCGTATTATCTAAAAACGTTTAATATAATTGCAGAAAAGTGAATTAATAAAGATGTGAGGATTAGTATCAGTAAGTACCAGAAATAGATTTACTTAAAAGCAACGTGATGCATGTTATTAATATTACTATTTATTAACCTCACTTTATTTTACTTTTAAGTGCACTATGGTAAAAGGAAGGGCTTTACCGTCAGTTATGGATACCTCAAGCAGCTCTGATGATACATATAATTCCAATATGGGAAAAGTCAAGAAAAATATAAACACTTTTGTTCCTACAACAGAAAATTTGAATTTAGAAAAAATTCATAAAAAACGATCAAAAATGGAGTTGAGTCAGGACATTAATGATAATGATAATACATTAGAATCATTTCTTAAAAGAAAATGTAATGAAGATGAAAGGAGTTCAGATTCTGAAACTGAATATAGTAATCTACAAAGAGTTGAACAAATTATGGAAAATGCGCCTAGTAAATTAAGTAAAAAACTAAAGAAAAAAAGAAAGAGCGACATTTGTAGTGATGATTCAACAGGCGAAGAAAATATTAATAATGAATATCTTAAAAGTCTGGATAAAAACTCGTTTGATAATAGCAAAATGAACCAAAAGAGAAAAGCGTTTGTTACTCCTGATTTGTTACAAAAAGGTAAATCTGTTACAAAAGGTGTAAATATAAGTCCTGTTAAGAAAGAGGTTTTAAGTGATGATGCAGAATCCAGTTCAGCAGAGTCGGACTCAAATTGCAATAACGACAGTGAAATAAATCAAAAAAACATTGTAACCGTTATAAAAAGTGAAGTTCACAGTAATACTAGTTCTGATTGTGAAGATGAAGATGATAATATATCAAGTGCTCATGAGCCCGAAGCAAAGTATTCAATCGTAGAAACTCCTGTTACAATTTTACAGGATATACGATTGACACCTAAGGTAAAAACTTTTAATATGTAGAAATAGAAATTTCATTAAATATATTGTTGCTCGGTGAAGCATAATACTTAAACTCAAACTAAATTTCTATTATTCTATTATTTCTATTATACATCATTGTTAAGTTTGCTTAGATTTTTATATACGGTTATATCATTAAAGTAAATATAGTGGAAGTTAATTTCAACGATATTTGATGTTTATGGTAGATATATATTATTTTAAAATAACATCGTCTGACTATGGAAGTACATAGTTTGAACAGTTTAGTTCTAGCTACCATAATTGATAACTAACTTTGTCATCCCTGCACCAAACCTGCACGAACAATTTCTTGAACTGATTGGTTCATGCGTAAATCCTTCTGTGGTTGGGCGATCTTCATCTGCCTACTCCATAATCACAACACACGCGAAAGAACGTGAAATAAATTTAATGAAGGCAATAGGTAAAACCAATTATAAATTGTTGCTAGATAACGCATTAAAATGTGCAAACGTCTTTGGGTGAACATGATATATCTATAACTTTTTCAGTCATGAACATTAACAAATGGAAATTTAGAATCAATTTTACATTTAGCTGCTTCAAAAATCAAACCAAAAATTAAAATAACGGGTGATTCATTTAGGGGTACTTTTTTCAGTAGCGAGTTTAAGACAGATCATGCATGAGTCGAGTGAACTGTCGTGGTATTTTGGTTCAGTACTGTCTGACATTTCATCATGGAAAGACTTAGCCCGGCACAACATCTACAAATAATTCAGCTGTACTACGAGAATCAGAGCAACTTAGCACTTAGAGCAACATATGGTCTACATAATCAGCCCACCGAACGCACAATTCGCTACACCGTCGAGAAGTTTTAAACCCAATTTTCATTATTGGATAATACGCGAAGTGCAGAAAATATTGCGGTGGTAGCCGAGAGTGTACATGATGACCATAATGAATCAATTCGGCGCCGATCTCAACAGCTCGGCTTGTCGTATGCAACAACTTGGCGTATTTTACGTAAGGATCTTGGTTTGAAAGCATACAAAATTCAACTCATTCAAGAATTGAAGCCGGCTGACCTTCCAAATCGTCACCGTTTCAGTCTTTGGGCTCTTGAACAGCTTGAAGAAGATCCAATNATCTTCATCTGCCTACTCCATAATCACCACACATGCGAAAGAACGTGAAATAAATTTAATGAAGGCAATAGGTAAAACCAATTATAAATTGTTCCTAGATAACGCATTAAAATGTGCAAACGTCTTTGGGTGAACATGATATATCTATAACTTTTTCAGTCATGAACATTAACAAATGAAAATTTAGAATCAATTTTACATTTAGCTGCTTCAAAAATCAAACCAAAAATTAAAATAATTGTCATATCAACACATTAAATTAAATTCTTTGTTTACATTTTACTGTCTTCCTTTCTAACAATATTTACATACATATAAATAAATTTTTTTATTTTTTATTTCAACTTTTGCTGGAAATTTTTTCAACATGACTGCGTGATTCTAGAAATCATCCCCTAAAAACAGTGTGGGTTACGCTCGTCATTATCAAAATATGACAACCTTAATTTTCACAAGCCGCCACTATCAAAGCCATTTGGAATAATTCCAGTTTATTTTATTATTTATGATTTAAATTTTTTTTATGCTCCCAACTAATAATATTAATGTTAACCCAACTAATAGTAATGCAGATTATGTAATTTTTTATATATGTAGTTATTTAAATACATAAAACGGGTACAAATTATAGTAGTGTAGACAGTACAAAATAAATGTTGACAGACGTCTATGAACATTCTCTAGTAAACTACTGAAATGAAAATTGAGAAAGCGAAGCAAGTATGACTTGCCATTATAAGATGTGTATCCTGAACTTTAATAATAAAATAAACGGATTTCTTTCTCTAATTCAGTAATATTTTATACTTCTGTTTTTTTTTTTTTAGAGTAAGTCTGCAAAAGAAAAATTGAAAGAAAAGTACCCTGGACTAAAGCCAATTGAAATTATGACCGAACTAAATCTTTCCGATTTTGATGAAATTCATTTGTTCAGAATTCCAAAAAATGTAGATCCGCAGTCGCTGAGGCATGCCGAAATTAATTTAGAAAAAGAGTGTAAAGTAAATTTAAGTGAAAAATATGTTATTACATCGACAACTAAAGTGCCTGATCCAACACTTGTCATATCTGCTAACACAAGTGTTTTATGCTTTAAGAACAATATTAAAATGGAGAAGTACATTAAATCTAAGGTTGAACCTAATATTGAGGTGCCAGAAAAAAAATCCGTACCTTTACCTGAAAACTTAAAAAAGCGACATCCTCTATTTGGACCAGATTTTAAACAAAAAATAAAGTTAAGTGAGCATGTGGAAAGAAAATTAGATGAGGCAATAGCGAATCTTCTGAAAAGAGAAAGGAAGTCCAAAAAGAAGAAGGATAAGAAAAATAAGCAAAACGTTAAAGAGGAAAAACCTAATGGAGAAATTATTGATATTTTTAGCTCAAATAGCTTCTTAACAGACAGGATGAAAAAAGAAACTTCAGATGACAGCGCATTTGGAAGTTCCAGTAGTACAGATAATCCAAGAGGTAAGAAAAAGGACAAGGGACACTCATCAGACATGAGTATTGAGCAGGAAATGAAATGTTCTATAGAAAAAGAGTCCAGAGAAAAAAGAAAGGAAAAAACGAAGAAAGAAAAATCTTCTGATCATGACTGTATTGATACTGCTGAAATTAAGAAAGAACAAGATTTTGATACTGTTGGCACTGAAGAAGTATCAACTTCACCAAAAAAGAAGAAGAAATCTTCAATAATTAATAGTACCTTAATGTCAGATATTTTAAAAACACCACAATTTAATTCCGAGGTTAGTACAATTATAGCAGAGGATTCTTCCGGAAAGAAATCTAGGAAATCTAAAAAAGACAGAATGTCCAATGAAGGGGGTAATATAAAGAAAGAGGAATTAATATCCGAATTATTAAACAATGTTACTAAGGAACTCGATGTTTCTGGAAAGATTAAAACGGAATTTTAACCTATGACCAAATTAAGACTAAATTTTACAGTTGCAAGTATATTTTTTAACCTGAATAAAATATGCATACAAGACATTCATTCTCTCAACATGTATGACATAAAAGTCAGATCCTTATGGTTGGACCACTGTAAAATAATTGAAGCATGAATAAAGGCGACAAACATTTTATGTCTTAATATTAATTTTTTTATTACAGTATGTCCTGAATTGTCTCCAATTATTTTTATGACGGATAATACACAAAAAAATGTTACCTTACATGAGTAAATTATTTAATGAAAATATTTAAATAACGGAGACAATACATATATATTTGTGAAGCTTATTGTTTTCTACACTATTAGGGAAAAAAATGAAAATACATTATATTGTACAATGTTCTTTTTTACGGGATAATGCAGTTATGTGAAGTTAACATCGAACTTTAATGCAATCGATGGTAAAGAAAATAAAATAAAAATGGTACAAACCTGTACTAAACGAGTACAATTAATTGCATTAATGAAAAATTCAATTATCTAAAGATGAAGGTTAACTTGACATAGCTGGATAATACAATTAAAGTCCTTGTTTCATGGAAATGTTTCACATTTCAATAAATATGTGATGGATGTCAGAAATTTATTATTACAAATGCGCTCCCATATGTAAACTTTAATTTTAACTCAAAAATGGTTAGACTCATTATAATTACACAAGAGTAACTCCTTTTTTTCTAATAGTTTAGATTTTTCAAAAAATTTTGGGGGTGTAGTAACACACCCAAAAGAACTCTTTAGTTAAGACATAGGTTTTGAATGTTCAGTGTAAATTAGTGCCCTGATGTCTTACATTTCAAATATGATTTAATATACCTCGAAACACATTTACGATACGGCAAAGGATATGATATTTGTCATTAAAGGGCTTATCTTTGCCTTATCTGTTTTCAGAAAAAGTTTATATAAAAAGGTACTATTATTTTTTTATGTATCTTTCCTGAATATATCGGGAGACAATTCAGGACCAACATGTATATTTAAATGAAATAATTTTTCATTAAAGCCAAGGGGTAAACTGTGCTTATAATTTTGTGGACCAGAATTCCTCTACTCAAAAGAATTGCCCTGATTTCCTTCATGAATTGCTCTGACTTCCCTTTGAATTTCTCTAGCTTGCTCTGACTTCTCCTTGAATTCCTTCGATTTCCTCTGACTTCCCTGTGAATTCCTCTGACTTCCTCTGAATTCCCTATGAGTTCCTCTGACTTCCCCATGAATTCTTGTGCCATGTACACCATAATTTCCTGCAATTTATCCCTTGATTAAATTGTATAAACTGAATTTGCCAGAGGTTATCTATCCTATGTACTAAAGAATTTGTGACATGATTTGAAAAAATAATGTTACTCGGCGTAAATAAGTATAGAAAAAAAAATTATGTTAGAAAAAGTGAATAAACATTTATTTTATTTTGTATTGTTTGTAAGTATAACTATTTTATTGTACGTTTTAAAAACATTCATTCGAAAAATCATGATTTTGTGTTTATGGTAATAATAGAAATAGGTGCATGATTGAGTATGAGCTGATGTCTATATAAGAGAAATATATTCAACAATTTTAAACACATTTTATATTTATCATGTTGAAATATTTTATTTTCTTAGTTTTTTTGTATAGGTTAATGTATTATATTTTATTATTTTCAAAAGGAAATATGTGCACATCTTGGCATGCGAAACTGCCGGAATAACATAATATCTTTCAGTAGAATACTTCGAGAAATAATAGCAGTTTATTTAGTTGACTATTTTCCTGATGTTTTGATTTTCTGTTTAAAATATTCTATGTTCTACGAGTATATTATCTACAACTTTATACAAATTGTTTACATTTATTTTTTTGAAACTTGACTGCAGAACTTTTTTTATTTGTAAAATATTTGTCAGTTTTATAGAGAAACTACTATCTAATACTTCATATTTGTTATTTATGTTTAAATATTTTATTTTTTTACATTAGAACTTGAAGATTGGAATGTATCATTATTTGTGTTACAAGTGTTGAAGTTTAATAACTACTTATGGAGTGTATGAGGTGTACCTTTCGTTATGTAATATATAGTTTGAAATAGTTTAATTTTTTATTTGTGGTATTGTAATACTTTTATTGTATTGTACTTTTATTTCAAACAAAAACTTTTCAGGCAAAAAAGACAAATAAAATTTATTAAACAATATACGTATTTGAAAACACGTGCTTTTCAAATTTGATAATTTTAGGGAGGGGTTAAAATAATTAAGTGGAAAGGGATCATCTTCAGGATTATATAATATACAACGATATAGAAACCACCGGAGTAAGGAAAACACATACCTAACCGTTTCCGAAATGTTTCTAATTTATAAAATTTTATTAAATGCTGGTTTGGGCATTTTAAAAGAATCGCTAATGCATAATCAAAATCTTTGTTTACAAAACATAGCGGTAGCGCATGCCCAGTATGTTGTGGCAAGATGGCGGGTATGCGAGTGTTGTCTGAATCGGTGAGTAAATATACGTATTTTACGTAAAGTACTGCATTGATTTCTCATTATGAATGACGAAAATATACATACCATTCAATGATAGTACAGTTATTTAATGTTACATTTGATACGAGTTATTAAATTTGATTCGTTTCCCTATATTTATGTGACCTTCATATAAAGTAAAAGTAGGGGTGGACCATGTGTATACATACACCGCTCAAAGGATTTTATGGTTTAAAATATTATTCTCTTGTATGCACGTTTGGTGATCCAATTTGACCTTGATACAAATATATTTATATCGCCACCGTAAAGATCTATTTTTCATGATAACTTCCTTGAATTTTTATTTCTTTTCTGTACGTACAAATATAGGTGGGATGGAATACCCATGTAAAGCCGAAGAAGGAATAATAATAATAATTATTATTATTATTCCTACTGTTTGTTTTTACGTCGAATTCTACATTTTAGTAAAATAGTAATTATTCTAAATTTAATTCTATTCTAAATCTAATGATAATTATATTAAACATATAAATAGGTAGTAGGTACCTACCTATAGGTAAGTATGTTTGCATCCATTTTTTCACCAAAATTTGGACAGTCTTACTGAATTCAGTAATTTGTCTCAAATATTCAGGATTTTACGTATTATGCGTTGCTTGCAGGTTGAAACATTAAAAGCGTTCTAATTTGTCCATTTAGCGTGTACAATCATGTACAACTGGACAAGAAATTTCCAATCCAAAACATTTAAAAGAGTCTAAAGTAGGATCCATCTAATAATAATAAAACTGGTATATAAAGGGTCATAAGTAGTTTAGTTTGGAAACCTTTTTTTATTCGCCTCTATACTTCAGTAGCTATTCAAACTCTGATATTTGATTTGGCTTATATGAAGTTTTTAATATTTCTTATAAAAAATAATTGGTAAGTATCTAAATACAAAATATACCTATTATTACCTTTTGGAAGACATTAGTCAGCTGAACACTATCATTATTATTTTTGTGTTTAATCTATAAGGAATTCAAATTTAACAAGAATTGTGTGACGGTGCTTTAGATATATACAGAATGTTTCTGAAATAAATGATTTCCTTCAAAGGGGCAATGAAGCAAGCAAAAATAAACAATTTTCATTAAGTAACCTGTGGTCTAAGGTGTCATGTGTTCCAAATAATTAATAAAGAATTATTACGCAAAACTCGGGCCGACCCTGTATCGCCACTTAACAACTGCTGTAATGCAGTAATTAGGTCAAGTTCAGTGTGGTTGTTTGCACGGCGTGGACGCTAATGTATTTTGCTTTCTTTCGTCAATGGTTTGCTTTGTTTTATTCCAAAAGGAAGGGACATTTTTTAACTTATCGGGGAGAACTCGAACCGCAGTACCCGCGATATTGCGATATTGCACGTGAAATGGGCGAAATACTGCTGTGTGGCGTGGGTTGCGAGAGCAGTTATTGCACCTTTGTCATTTCAAAACTACTATCACATTCTCTCGGGTAGTATGTTAAATATGACTCACTTTGTATAGTATTAATATACTTTTTAATTCGATATTATATAATTTCGAAAACATGTTACCTACCTACTTACCTACCTATGTAATTATTATATTACATTGCAAACAAAAGTAGGAATTAAAATCTAAGGTCATTTTTTAAACTTTTATATAACAGGGGAGTGGAAATGATATTTACATTATTGCATTTCTTTCTGTCAGCGGTTTACTAAATAAATATGCTGTAACAAAATCAAATTTGAAGTAAATGATGGGTGTTTGAATTCATTGTATATTTGGTAAATACACAATACAGATATTGTTTAATGTTATCCAAGTTTATAAAATCTTTAAGTTTGTCCTTACGTTAAAATTAGATATTGTTTTAATAATTTTAGCTTGTAACATTTATGTTGAGAAGTATGTTCGGAAAGATATAATGTTTCAAATCTTAATTTATAAAATACTTCCGCATGCTACAACGAACGTTATTTCGAATCTGATTTAGAAACCAAAACCAACTCGAAGCTAACTGTGAGATCCTCTATATTTATAAAGTTTACGGAAAATCCGTTTACCTCTAAGTTAATTTTAGTTTAAATATTGAATTGATGCCAGTTTTAACTGAGAAATTAAGTAGCTGTTATATTTATAAATGCCCTCATAGAACAGTGCGTAAGTGTTGTTCAAAGAAATTTTGTTGCTCTAACCTTCCCGCCAAAGAATATTGCCTGCTTCACGCTAATCATTCGCGCATTAGGCGGTTTGCCTAATTTTTTAAAGGTGAATGTACCGATTATGCGGAAATTGCATGAGTATTTTTTCTAGTATTAGTTGTACTGGTTACATTTAAAATTACCGAGTAAAAAAATTTAAACATTTTTATTCATAAACGTACATTTTTAAGGGTGGTATTCACTCAATTTTGAGAAAAAATATTTCATGTAAACATTTCTCCATAAAATGCTTAGTTTTCAGTGGATAGTTTTACATTGTTTTTTTCATTTTAACTACGGTAAACTGCTATGCCGATGTCTCTACAAAACATACATACGTAAATAAACTTGATATTTGTGTATTTATATAACTATTTGAATTCATCATCATCTTCATTTATTTCAATTTATTTTTTTAAGTCAATTCAAATCGATTAGAATTAGTACCAAACCTTATTTGCAATTCTCAAAACAGGTTCATCTATAATTTTATGTACAGCGTGAACTTAAAAAAATGTAAAAAGAGTCTTTTATTACTTTCAGAAGGACGCTTTTTTTTGACATCAAATATAATACTGTCACATTCATCCCCAATGTTCACGAAATTTTGAATGGAATGGAAAAATCACTTTATTTTAGGCGAGCGGTGCACCCCTAAAAA